GGGGGGGGGGGGCGAGACGGAGGTGACCCAGAGGCCAGAGCCTCAGTGGTCAGGAAAAGACACTATTAGAACAGAACAGAAAAATGATTGCTGAAAAGTCAATTCCCTCTGGCAGGTCTTTAAAGGACACAGAGAGAGGAACTAAGTGAAGAGGCAGATTAGCCAGAAGGAGGACAGGAGCACAAAAGGGTCACATTCGTGACGGCGGCATCAATGAAAGGGGTTTCCCTCCTCAGCTGTGGCTTTTGGGGGTCCAGCGAGTTGTTACAAGAAGCATCACCAAAGGAGGGCCTTCTGGGGGCCCAGTTGCTGCCCTCGGCCAGGAAGCATACAGGCGGGAGGGGTACACAGAAGGGTGCAAGTTAGGAGCCCCCAAGTCCATCCCCACAAGGCCACATCGCAGGAAGGCGCCTCTGGGTATCAGATCTGTGTTAATGAAAATGACAGGCACACTTAAGATGAAATGGTCACCATGCCAGGCTCTTCCCATACTGTGTCCAACCAGCAGCCCTTGAGGAAGGCCTGACTAGTTCCGGTTTTACAGAAGAGTAAACTGAGGTGCAGGGCAGCCCCACTGGCTTCAAAGGCAACTTCTAACCAGCTGTCGGCAGCCCACCCTGCTGCTGGCCCAGCTCTGCCTCCCTGGTGGTCCTTCACCAGGGGGCCCAGATTGTCTGCTGGTCTGATCACGTGAAGACACAGAATTTCATGCAAAAACACTGCTGACATTTCACTTCTTCCCAGTGCTTTCCTAACTACAGGTTGTCATTCAGGAGCTGTGACCAGCATTTTTAATTTAATGAAATAAACTAGAAACTACTAGAATGGGTCGAAACCACTAGTGAGGTCGAAAGACTGCTTCCCAACTTCCCAGTGCCTCCCCTGCCCACCCCCAAATCCGTGCAAACACCAGAGCCAGAGCCTGTAAGAGCTCGATTTAAATCAACAAGTTTTACCCAGAACTTATGAGAAGGCTTATTCCAACTGGACACCATGGGCTGGGCTGGATCCCGTGCCTCCTGCAGAGGGCACAGGTATGGGTGCCCATGGGCGCTGAGTAAGCCCAGTCTCTCCTCACCGCTGTCTTCCTGCCCTTAGAAAGGGAGGATTTCAGACTGTATCACCTCTAAATTCTTAAATGGCCACAATTTACTTATTTGCAAACTACAAACTGACATTACATGGCCAAGGTCTGCATTTTTATCTTCCGAAAACAATTCCACAACAGATTCCACCTGTTTTTTCAACATCCTATTAAATGTCATCCCATAACACACTCTGACTCATTTTTACCTGTTTTTTCCATGTTGTTATTTAATAATATTCTTTCTAGTCTTAAAGTTCTCAATTTCTCATCTCAGTTTTAAAACTGGAGAGTTTCGGGGGGGGGAAAGGGAATGTAATTTCTCAGTTGACTTTCTTGAGGAATAACTACATTTCCAGTGCAACTCCACGCTCTTCTGTTTCTCACACTCGCACAGCAGGGCATTTTTCGGAGTTTGCTGAAAATGATGACCTCTGGCCTCCTGTCCACGCAGGGCTGGAAGAGTATGTGTGTAGAGTGCTTCAGAAAGGATAGCTGCAGGTGCTGGTCCCTTCACCGTAACAGGGCCCTTAATGGGATCTGTGACAGGTAAGACTGTCACTGGTGGTGACCAGGGTCATCAATGTTAATGTGGCTGCTGCTTTTCCCCCCTAACACTCAGAATATCACCCGTTCACAGTTAGGGCTCATGGCCTTGCTCTCCAGAGACCTCACATCAGTATAAGGCAAATGTTGTTCAGCAAGAGTTTGGGGTCATTTGAAGGTCATTTGGTTTTGACCTGGAAATGGGTGTTGACTTAATAAGCTCCCATGTAATGTTGAGCAGTGTTTAAATTTGACTTAAGTGGGCTTCTCACGTTGGGACTCCACGCACAGACCTGTCTGTCTTGGGACAGCTGGTTGACACCTAATGCCACACTCATGCTGGACCTTGTTTGCAAGTCCCTCCCAGTCCTGTGCTATCTGCTTCGTT